TGGAGGAATCCTTCCCGGGAAATCTTTCATTCTTTCCCAACAACGCATATGTCAGTGTGATCAGTAGAGACAACGTACCAATTTTCACGCACAAAGACTTCTGTTTTCAAAGAGAAACAAACTTACAAAAACCACACTCCATGGACAATCGAAGGTAATTTGGGCGGGGCCAAAGGTGAGACATGGAAAAAAGTTTGTCTTCGGGCTGCGTACAGGATCCATCATTGGTAGCGCATTAAGCCAAAGGCAGAAAGAGTTTCTAGTGAGGCACTCCGAAGAACCAAGTGGAAGCATTCCCGTTCGCCAGCATTTGTGATAGACGTCCGTGGGCACTTTGAACGCGTAGCAGCCCTTTCGATTTTTCGAATTTTTTTCCAAAACAAAAGCAATTTTTTTGTTCTTTTTTTCGCGCTTATCGTGAACGATGGGTCCCATGCTGTACTGTAGGTGAACTGTAGGTGAGATAGGATCACGATTTTTCCGATAATTATTCCTCTAACAAAATTCCTCTTGTATGTTCATTCAGCTCCATGAGTTTCGTTCACCTTTTAGTAGCCCAATAATGTTTCGACGGACGCTGCGGACACATACAGGCCAGAGACTGCTTCTAACTGCGATGTGAAACAAGGGCGACTGCATCTTAGCGACATGGAAAAACTAGGATAAACAGTGGAGCCACTTTTTCAGCTATAATTCGAAGGAGAATTCCACGACAGGGAGAAGGTCGGTGAGGGGTAAACTTATCTAATGGAGAGACACGCGGACCCAAAACAATTTTGCGGGCGACACACAATTGCGGAGCAAAGATTGCCCTTGCCAATCTACCATGTCTTCTCGCGGAGTAATTGGCGCGCTAATGGCGAGTACGCCCCTCTTGTTGAGTCTCTAAGCCGTCAGCCAGAAAGGAAAGGCGTAAGCGTTTGAAGAGGTTAGCACCGATGAGAGTCGCATCAATGCGCAAGTTAATGGGCCAGTAGATTAGTCCAATTTCTCGGGTTCTGGGCCGTTTTTCTCATTTTTCTTCTTTCATGTACAGGAAACATGAGTTGTGATCAACCTAATAAGACTCACTTAGTGTACGGCAACCTTTGTTTGAGTGACATACTGGGCTTCTCGTTTTTATCGATAACGGAAAGGATTTCGTTACGAATTTTTTCCTGAGAAAAAAAAACGACCACAAATGAGGAACTTTTCGTGGATCTCTTCAGAAGAAGCCCACAGTAAGCTGTCGGATGAATTCTCAATTCTTTTCTAATGTGCCTATAGTATAGATCGCCTCTAGCTGCATCAAATTTCAAGTATCTACCTGGATGTCCGCATGTTTTGCAAGAATCAATGCACCCCATCTGAGTGTTGTGGCTGTTGTTTCCATTCCGGCCAGAAAAAGATCCGAACATACATTGATGAGATTTTCGTCGCTAAAATGCTGCCGTGAGTAGTGCGGAAAAATAATGAAAAAAAAATGAAAGCCGAAAATCACCTTAGAAGAGGATTGGTTTTCATGTTGTTTGCTTGCAGTATGCATGGACAAAGCATTCGGGTTCATGGCTGCCATCCCAAGACTGTAACACCTTCTTCACATCTTCTCTGACGACTTGCGTTATCTAAAAAACATAGGCGTGCGCTTGAAAAATAATGCAAAAAGGGGCTAATTTTGCTAATACTGCGGTGGGGGGTTCGACGGAGACGGGTGCTTAATGGTACGCCAATGGCGAAAAAGCCGGAGAATCCGTGGCCCTTTCGCTAAGGCTGCTTACGCCTAAATGGTGAGGAATTTTCACGATAAGAACGAAGTGTCAGGTGAGAAGAGAAATTGCATAGGTTTGGATTGAGGCGACCCTCCTGAGGTTCTAGGGCGGAAGTGGTGTAGTGACAAGTGGCGCGCTCACCACGCGAGCGGTCCGGGGATCAAATCCTGGGTCGTGAGTCGCCCGGGCCAACCAAGCCTTCCATCCCTCCGGGGTCGGTTAATTGGTACCAGACTTGTCTGGGAGGATAAAAACACTGACTTGTACATCGGCTGGCCCCCGCAAGTCATTGTATAGGCCACATCGCATTCAAACGCCACTGCGAATGTACAAATGGAAGTAGAATGCGTGCCGCATCCCAAAAAGGGATTGATCAACGGCAAATGCTTTATCCTTTATCCTTATCCTTGAGGGTGCTGACCGACGCAATTGGCAGCGAAAGATTTGACCTCGGCGATCTAGCATGGCTCACTCTTGGCGCGGTTGGCGGGGTACGCCCACCGACTATCTAATCACTCGCCGCAGGTCTATACGTGGCGAGTGATTAGATAGCAGAGAGAGCGTAGTGTTGAAGAGGGCACAGCGATGGGGGAGTCGCATCAATGCGCAAATTTGAATGCGGCAAGAAGGGTCCTATTTTCTCGGGTTCTGAGCCGTTTCAAGTGGTTTCTTTTCCCTATTTCACTATCCACCTCTCCAAATTTCCATCGTAAATTGTTCCTCTAAGGCCAAATCGAGATTATATCCCATCACCCATGAGTCACTGACATGAGACCTATCATTCACGATGAGTAGCGAAATGAACAAAGAAGTTTGCCGCTTTTGCCTATCGTTTGAAAATAAAAGTCGAAAAACCGGAAGGACCTTAGCGTTCAAATCTCCGCCGTACATCTGTCACAGAAGCCGGCGGCGAGAACGTTTTCGCTTGGTTCTCAAAGTTCCTCCACTTAGAACTGATTTTGGACCTTTCAAACACATGTGGCCACTAACATCCACGTTTGTTACCGCTATCCCATTCTATCGATCGCTTTGCCTCTATGTTCCAAAACTGAACGGGATTTTATTTCTATTTTTCTATGATTATTTTCTCGAGTCGTCCAATACGTAGCCCCTCCAAGGGGCACTCCCTTCCTTGTGCAGCCTTTGGCACTGCACGACACCACAAAGCGTGAGTTTCCTAAGTTTTTTTATCGTTAAACTGAATCGGTTGGGGGGCTTAAAAGTACAAGGATATTGACCCACAGACCTCGTAGCGGGTGGTGAGTAGCGCCACATGCCACACTACTTCTACCCTTGGTGCTTGAACCCAGTGAACCAATTTCAGCTTCCACGAAAAGTGGTTTTAGTAAATGCAAGTAGATCTTACTTCTGCCATAAGTTTCTCCAACCTTCCGATGAGAGATACTTGCGCAGTACTGGAATCGCAAGTATAGAAGGCATGAGTTGAGCGAGAAATACCACTTTGCTGCTCCTAAATGGTGCAAAGTTAATTACAGTATTGTAAAAAGTCACAGTAAGCAGTAAACAAATAACAGATCCCACCTCGCCTCGTCGAATAATATGGCTAAAGTATCCGCAACCCTCATAAGGCGATCGGCGTTATCGTAGCTGTACCCATATCCAAATAACGTCCTGTTGATGACGTTTGCGACAAAAACCTTAGAGGATTCAGTCAGGAGTGGTCGAAACATCGGAAAGGGGAATGAGGTGCTCATCATTACAGTCAAAGTTAAAGGCGGATTTGACTGTGAAAAGGCAGCCTAATGGAATTAGGTTAGAAATGGTCAGTGATGCGTAGAAAAAGGAAAAGCGAGGTAAATAGCCAACCCGAGAAGTGGGACCTTTTTCTCCCGCCTGCCTCCCTATTAAGGTGGACTCTTAATCGGTGCTGCCCTCTTCAACGCTAACGCTTTCTTTCAGAAATGGCCAGAGACTCAAACACGAGAACGAAGCGGCAGGGGGGGGGGGCGCTTTAACGGGTCAACTGCGCCAAGAAAGGCCATTGCGAGTGCTGAGGCATGTCCTCTCGATACGAATTTGTACTTTGGTCGCACCGTGGGGGGGGGGCAGACTGTGTCCTACGTATGCAGATTTTTTCCCTTCCGGTCCTAATTCGTCCGTGGGGTTCTGTTTTCATTTCGCTTCTCTTCACTCACTTCGAAACATAAAAATACCGCAATGCGATGGCGACCCTTTGCCATCGGGTTGGGGTATTTGCATTCTTGCGATTTGACCCAGAAAATGAATTTGCGGGTTGCCTTCAACTCCGCAATCATTTTCTGGGTCAAATCGCTAGAATGCGTGCTGCTTCCAAATAGAAGCTGATCAAATGCTTTATCCTCTCAGCAGATCATAGAAGTCCGATGTTACGGTTGCGGTGAGATAACCTACTGTAAAAGGTCTTCGTAGATCAACTTCGTCCTTGTTTTTGATGCTCTTCATATGATTGAGAAATTCTTGTGCAGAAAGAGAAACCTAAAATTGTGAAAGATAGAGATAAGGAGATGATATATGATAGATAGATGATAAGTGAAGTCATATATTGAACAAGTGTGGCGTCTGCGCAGGCTGTCGCAGAAATCAAACACCGAGGAATTCCGCTGTTCGATTCCACGCTTTTGGAGCTCGCCTTACTATGAGCTTACAGATTCCTCTAGATTTTTTTCTGTGCCCTGTTTTTGGTTTGAGAAGCCCCATGCACACATCTTCCTATCCCCGCATTTCTTCAAAACCTTGACAATTTTTATTCCCTAATCTGCGCACTATGATAGATCCCTGCCTACCCTCGACTGGCTTCACTTATTGTTGGCCCAAGTACTCCTTCACCCATGTCCCATCAACCTTAAAGGCAAGCTTCCGGATGAAACCGGTGATAAGAGCGCTGTGTAATGATGACTGAGCTGCGGGCGGCCTGAAAAAGGAATGGGAAGCTAGAGATATTTTTAGGATCGCCGAAATTTAAGCGCCTTTACCCTCAAATAATGGGGAGGAAGTAGGCGAGGCAGGGCGGTCAACGAGACAAAACACGCGAGAGATCACGTCGTTCAGTCGGGCAAGCACATGATATCGAGGCGGATGGAAAGCGTTGCAACGGGTGTATGGTTGCAGGCCCGTAAGGACTAGCCTCTAGCACTTCGCGCGCGAATCTGGCGATGATCTAGGGTAGGTAAAAACCTTTACATATTCCCCACGCGTTGCCTTCCCAAAGTTTCGGGCCCGGGGTTCGCCCTCTAAAATTTCAGTAGGTGATGGTTAGGTAATGTAATTCAGGTTGTTACAATTTCGTGAAAACAAACTGATGGAAAGATGATGGGCCAGGAGATCGAGCAACTTGTATTTCTAGGAATTAAGGCAAGCGCCTCTCATCACGTTTGTTACTCTTCTGACATTAGTAACATCCAAATTGCCCCTGTTCTCCATCCGCTTTTCCCATTTCCAATCGCGAAGTTATGTGGAGTGATTACACGTCGTTGTTCTTTCAAAGATCTCCCATAAAATTCTACATCTTCATGCTAAGACAGAGGCATCAATCGATCTGGTGTCCAAGTTGATTCGCTTACCAAAAACTAACCTGGGAAAAAACAATGCCTCCATTGTGCATGCTTTGGAACAATGTGTCAGGAAAGAGACCAGATCGACCGTTAAAATCATCTCCTTGAAAGAGTTTATGGTTGAGATAACTTAAATTAGAATATTTTTTTTCATCAGTTGATTTTTTTGAACAGTAGCCCTACAGAAGCGCAGTACACTATTCCAAAAGCTCTGAGAGGTCTTTGGGACCAATTTCGTGAGGAACATCAAAAAATTTCTAACAACTCTATTCATGAGGGAGATAAAACAAAGCATAAAGCCTATTCTTTAGGATAAAGCTTTTGCCAGTAATCAATCCCGTCTTGGGGGAGTGCGGGCAGCATTCTTAGTCCACCTTACGTTACATTCGTTAGTGGCGTTGAAGGCGCCATTTGCCTTATAAAATGACTTGGGGGGGCATCCGATGTACAACTAACAATATGTGTTTTTATTCATCCAGACACGTCTGATACTATTTAATCGAGCCCGGAGAGATGGAAGGCTTGGTTGGCCCGAGCCGCACTCACGATCACAGGGTTTTGACCCGGAACCGCCCTCACATAGAAGCGTTTGCACTGGACACTTACACCACTTTCGCCCAAGGAGATACCGATCGAAAGGAACGCAGCTTGCTTTCTGACGCCGCCACTTGACAGACCACTAGAAACGGTCCCATTCACTCATCCTGCATCTCGCAACCCCTTTAGCACAGATTAAGTCCATTTACTACCCAAGTTACTTCAGGCCCGGCCTCGTTTGAACAGGATCGCCTGACTTCATTCGCTGGTTTCGGGAATATTCTGCTACCCAGCACACCAAAAAGCACATGTTGTATAAATGTTTTGAGGTTCTGGCAACATGCGCTTTTGAGTCTGCAATCAGACATGGGCGGACGTGGGATATGGGGCCGGCATAACCCAAGCGGGGATGGGCACTTAGAACTCTGCTCCATACTCCTATACTGGATGGTGGGAATGGTTCACCCTTCCCACTGGAGACGTAGAGTTTCGGAAACCCACCCGGCCGGGTGCTGCTACATATGGTCCATTAAAGGCTGATTGTACGAAAAGGTGGTCCATTGGAAATTAAGTTAGATATGGTCAGTGATGCATGAAAGAAGGAAAACCAGAGAAAACGGCCCAGAATCCAAGAAAAGGGACCCCTTCCTTGCCCGTTGATTTTAGCATAGATGCGATTCTCGAAGCTGCCCTCTTCAACGCTAGCGCTCTCTGTTTAACGACAGGAGACTCACCAAGAAGGCATTCATATTTTCCATGGAACTTTGAGTTGAGACCCAGATATATCGATAGAGCTTCAAACGCTGATTACAAATATGGAAACTAAAACTGCAAAATGAACCTGCCAAGGAAGTTGTGAGCAGTCAAAGTTGGCTGGAAGTAAAGCATTACACTAGCCTCCGGGCTTTCAAAGTCGCCGTGGAGTAGTGGTAGTGCTCTCGAAATTTGCATTCCAACGGGAAGGAGAACTTATGACCCAGGGTGAAGAGCGAGGGCACTACCACTACTCCGCGGCGACTCTGAAAGCCTGGGTCCAGCACGGTTCATATGCAACGCTTTACTTTAGCCAACTTTGACTGCTCACAACTTGGCAGGTTCATTTTGCAGTTTTAGTTTCCATATTTGTAATCAGCGTTTGAAGCTCTATCGATATATCTGGGTCTCAATCAAAGTTCCATGGGAAGTTGAATGCCTTCCCTGGTCAGACCCGAGGCGACGCGAAAAGGGGCGTACCGCGCCATAGCGCGCCAAATGCGCCGCGGCGAAGGCCATGCTAGATGGGGCTAATTCTTCGATGCAAACTGCGTGGCAGTCCGCACCTTGGGAGGTCCGCTTGTCTCCCCACTAGGTAATTTTCCCTTCTTCGATATTCGTCCTTTTCGTGGAATCCTAAGTAAAACTTATACCTTTTTTCGCGAACGCCTCCTTAATGTTGTCGTAGTTCATGATCACCACATACGGCTTAGGAAGCCAAACAGTAAATATTTCACCATAATCCTTTGATATGTGCTCGAAGTCTTCATTTAGCTTTCGCAAGTTGATCTGTGCACAAATTTCGAAGATGTTATCTTTTGATTTTCCTTGATATGTATATGCTTACCGATAAAAGATTCCCAACAATTGGCAGAGGTCTTGGTCCTTTAGGATAACGTCTCACATTCGCATAGAATAACCATACGTAGTAGACGACGAAAGATAGCGGCAAAAGAATCAGCACGGCAAACATATTGCTGTCGAAGATTAACTGGAGTGGGCCTTCTTATAGGCGGTAAGGTCAGACAGGTGTGATCGCTGTTTTTTTGCTCGAGCACAACAATTATACACTACACGCTTCACTACAAATAGTTACTTGTGTTGATTGGCGACGGAGACGAACGGCGGAGCCGGTGAGTACGAAGAACAAGTTTCTTATCATTCTTCTGTGGTCCCCTACAAGATCATTTCTAATGCGCTAATTCGATTTTGGTTCCCATTTCTTTCACTCTCCACCCATTTTCTCAATATCGACTTCTTCAACAGAGCCAATCAGTGCCACTTTCCATGCTCGGAGGGGTCGATTCCCTGTATCGGGTCACATGCCAGAACAAGCTTACCGTCAGAGTTAATACTTGACGTTCATTGTTCTGGGAGCAAAATAATACTTACTGTTGGAATACTGTTTAATCTTCTGATAACTATGACTTTGAGTGTCATCGGGTATGCTCCACGAGACATCGCGTCTAAAATCCACTACGGATCCGAATGGAAGTCGAATGCATGGCACATCACAAAGAGAACCATTCAAAGCTGAATGTTCCATGTTTACTCGGATTTAGCAAAGCAAAATATCCCCTGAAGTTAAAACATAATTACTATATGAGTCACGCAGAAATTTACCCAAACCTACGAAACTCGAGAAATTCCTTCGAACATGCTTTGAAGGAATCCCTTCCGGGAAAATCATGATTCTATTCACCCATAAATCACTGGCTTGAGACTCATCGTCACGATAAGAACAAAAGAACAGAAAATTGCTTTTGTTTTGGTAAACAATTCGAAAAACCGAAAGGACTGCTACGCGTTCAAATTCCCGCCGGACATCTGTCACAAATGCTGGCGACGGGAACGCTTCCACTTGGTTCACGGAGTGCCGTCACTAGAAACTCTTTTTGACTTATTGCACTGACATCTCACACTTCTACTGCATCCTATTCTATCGATCGTTTTGTCTCTGTTCTCCAAAATCGCACGCTTCAACCCGATTCTTCATGCGTCGCCTGATACGTAGCCGCCCAAGGCGGACTTCTTTCCATGCCCGCCTTTGGCTCCGCGCGACCTTACCTTTGACCGTCCATAGAGTGTGGTTTTCTTGAGTTTGTCTTCTCTTCGGAAATTGAACTTTGAAATTGAAAAGTGTAAAACTTTGTACGTTGTCTCTAGTGATCAAAATGACATATTCTTGTTGGTAAAGAATGGAAGAATTTTCCGGTGGGATTCTTTCAATCAGAGGCAGGATGACCACAACTGCACACAAATGTCCCCTTCGACGACTAGGAATGAATGCTCCTCTTTCAGAACTATGCATTTTCATCGCGAGGAACGATACCAGGTCCGTTTTAAGGTCACGGCTTTAACCTTTGAAACGAAGGATGGGAGGTGATGGATTGGTGTAAAATCGGATGATTACGGAGGGCTAGGGAACGGCACCAAGCCA